AATGAATTGTCATGGAACCATGGACCATGAAAACAGGAATGGACCTTAAAATCATCTAGACTTCAGATTCTAGATTCTGAAGCATCTTTAGATCAAGTCACATAGCCTTTATTTGAATGCTTCCAAAGATGGAGAACTAAGTTTCTTGCAAAAGATTCTATTCAATGTACCAAAAGCTCCAAATTTTAGAAAAATTTCCCCCTAATCTTTGGCCTATAAGAACTTTTGAACATTCAGTGTGAGCTTCAAGAATATCATCAGCTGTCTTTTGAGGTAGAAGCTCCCTGTCTTTGAGAGTATTCAAAGCAAACTAAACAATTGCTTCTGGGAATATTGTATAGAAAATTAAATTTTCATAGTGCCATCAACAGGATGGCAGACTAGACATTCCCAATGCTCTTCCTCTCCCCCACAAAAACAACAAATTTTTTTGTTTTCCAACTACATGCCAACTAGAATAGCTCTGAGAGAGCCCAAGAATACAACAAAGAAGCTGCAGAAATGCTATGGAGCACAGAGACAGAATGGTCCCATAGAAAAGTGTAGTAAACAGTTTACCTTCATTGCCCCATCCCCCAGTCTGGCAGAGTTTGGGACCAAGAGGAATCCCTTTGGCTTGACCTCCCCTAAGACAAGGGAAAAGGAAAGCAGGAGGACAGGAGGACTCCAGCAGCCCTCATCAATACTTTGGACACAAGCAGCTTTCACCATGGAGGTGCCCTGAATTCTTCATTGATGTTGAACCTAGCTGATGGAACTGCCTGGAACCCATGCTGCTGTTACCACCTACTAGAAAGAGCTGCTGCAGCACTCTCCTCCCCAGGGAAACTACCACCCCTGCACCCCCACTGAAGAAGTGCCTCTGTGCCCCCTCACCAAAGCTGATAACATAGCATCCTGCTCCCCCATGCCAGAGCCACAACCCTGACTCCTGCAACCATGTACATGCCCTGGACCCCAGTTCTGTGGCTGCTCAGCACACGCCCATGCCTCACACACTAGGGCTATCATGATGAATGCACCTGCCCACCAGTCCAAGGTGGTTTGTTTTAGATGTCCCTGAGCTCCAACCTTGGTGCCATAGCTACTCTGCAGGTCCTCACATTCCAGACACCAACACCATTGCCACCACAAATGTGTTTTTGCCCCCTGATCCTGGCACCACTGCTAACACATGCATGCCCATGCACTGGACCCAGCAACATCACTGTGGATACCCACATACTTGGTCACTGAAGTCCACTTCAGTCTTTCCCAATGCTGATCTCAGCTTATGGAGCTCTACAGGAGTTATGCCTCTGTGTCCTCCCTGCACACACTGGAGCTGGAGCCACTACATCCAATCCAGTTGGGACTGTCACACCCACCTATAGGTAAAAGTCTTCACCCCTGAAGACAGTCCATAAAGTCTTGAAGAGACGAGTGCTCCCTCAAATGTGCAAACATCAACACAAGGCTACCAGAAACACACACACACACATCAAGGAAACACTACACGACCAAAGAATTATAATAATTTTCCAGTAACTGACCTCAAGAAAATAGAGATCTATGAGTACCCTGAAAATGAATTCAAAATAATTGTTTTAAAGAAGCTCAGTGAGCTACAAGAGAACACAGATGGACAACTCAATGAAACCAGGAAAACGATTCATGAACAAAATGAGAAGTTCAACATAAAGATAGAAATCATAAAAAAGAATCAAACAGAAATTCTGGAGTTGAAAAATTCACTGAAAAATGAATAAAATGAAAAATACAAAAGAGAGCTTCAACAGCAGACTTGATCAAGCAGAAGAAAGAATAGGTCATTTGACATTTGAAATGGGTCATTTGAAATTATCTAGTTAGAGAAGAAAAAAAGAATGAAAGGAAAAGAATGAAAGTATGAAGGAAAGCAAACCAATATACACATTATGGGAGACCCAGAAGGAAAAGAGAGAGAGAGAAAGGGGCAGAAAGCTATTTAAAGAAATAGTGGTTTAAAACTTTCTAAATCTTCAGAAGGAAATGGACATCGAGATTCTTGAAGTTCAAAAATCTCCAAATAATATCCACCTAAAGGATACTGCACTGAGATACATTATAATCAGATTGTCAGAAGTCAAGAACAAAGAGAAAATTTTGAAAGCATCAAGAAAAAATAAGCTCGTCATGTATAAGGGAACCCCCATAAGATTATAAGCAATTTTCTCAACAGAAACTTTGCAGGCCAAAAAAAAAAAGCAAAAGAAAAAGAGGGAGATGATGTAATCAAAGCACTGAAAGAAAAACAAAAAGAAAACCTTATATCTGAGAATACTATACCTGGCAAAATTATCCTTTAAAATTAAGTACAGGTAAAGTCTTTCCAAGACAAACAGAAACTGAGGGAGTTTGTCACCAGTGTACCTGCCTTACAAGAAATTCTTAAGGTAGCTCTTCAAATTGAAATGAAAACATGCTAAACAGCAACAAGAACGTATATGAAAGGATAAATCTCACAGGTGAAGGTAAATACATCGATATATACAGATTAATAAAATTCTTCCCCACTCTTATCTTGGCATTGATAATCCTCCATAATCATAAATCTTTAGACATACTTATTAAACTCACTTTCCCAAACTATTCCTTGCTAAATAAAGCCCCCTTCTGTTCTACTCCTAAAAGGTTCTATTTTCTGTTACTCAGCTTTTGCTTATGCCAATTCCCCTACTTGGGACCTCCCCTTGGCCCTATTTCCCTGCCACCAACAAAATCCTATTCATCTTTCAAGGTCAGTCTCCAATCTCTCCTCTATCAACTCTTCCCAAAGGACTCCAGCCCTGAACTCTTATACCACTATACAGTCTGTTTCATTCATCTGGCTGGCAATCAATCACTCACTGCCTTGTAACACCTCTGAAAACTTATTTCTCTTGAAAACTGTCATTAACTGTTTTTTTGTGTGTGTGTATATCTTATCTCCCCAACTAAAAAAGCTCATTGAGGCCAGGAGCCAAGACTACACCTTCTTTTCAAGTCTCTGTGGAACAAAACTGGGCACCTAGTTTGGGCTCATTTTTTAATGTGTACTGACTTGTTTCTGATAGGTTCCTCTATTACTTTGTACTGACTTTGATAGATCATTAAGTCCATGATTAATCTTTCAGCCCCTGTCAGGCATTGGTGGTGACCATTAGAGATAAGGTGCATATGAGAGAAATCATATTTAATTCTTTATGCCTCAAGCAAGACAAATTGCTATGATGCTGGTAGTAAGATATTTTACTACCAGCTAAAAGTGTTCCTTAATAGATTTAGGCCCCTGGAGGAGCTCCACAGAGGTTGTGATTATAACCTGAAACATAACTCCTTCAAGAGAGTTAACAGGCAGATTTTTTTTTCCTTTCTAGTTTGTGCTGGGTAGTCAACATGAAGGTGTTTAATTCAGTTGAGTCAGGAAAGGCACATCAATGCTCTGATGGCTTTCTCTACAAGTTTTTGCATTCCTGGACTAATAATTAAAATTTAAAATATTCTATGTGGCCTTTTATGCCAACATGAAATTAAGAAGTCCTTCAATTTGGATACAGATAAGCCAAGGGAAGAAAAGGGATTGGTCCACAGGAAAGGAACATGGAAATCACTTTTTTGTGGCCACCTCTAATACTAAGCCATAGTGACCTTATGGGCGGACGGGCAGGAGGGATGAGATGTACTTCTCCATTAGGAAAAGAAGAAAAAAGTAACAAAGGAGTGAAATGCTGAGTGCTAAGTCACATAAAGACCATCCTCAGATTCTAAGCAAAGAATCTCTCAGTTAAGTATTCACAGCGTGGACTTGGAAGAAGTCTTAATGGTGTGTGGAGAGATACCTAGTCCCCAGTTCAGTCAACTTGCCATGTACTCATAGACATGAGTAGCAGAGTGTATCGTTTGGAAACTAAGTGGTCAAAAACCTGAGAAGTCCTGGGGAGTGAGGACAGATGGTTTTTCTCTGAGGCAGTGCTTTTACTTCTAAAACCCACTAATACCCATTATTTTACACTGCTCCATCCCAAATGCCTATAACAATCTTCTACCCTTTGTTAGTTATTTAAGACATCAGGTTCTCTTAAAGGATGGATTCATTCCCCCTTTTATCTCCAAGATCTTCACAGCAGAATATTTCTTTAAGATGAACCATTCATCATTCCCTTTCTAAACCTTGGCTCCAAGATTACCCTTAGATTCATTTATTCATTCAATACATATTTATTGAGCCTCAAACTGTGCAAAACACTGCTCTAAGTAGACAAATGACAAAAATTCCTCCCCTCCTGAAACTTACATAACTTCTAAGTGTGGTAGATTTGTAGAAGAGTGAGCTGAGGGTATAGCCCAGAGTTTGAATGGTGGTAGCACTTGTTGCTGGAAGAGGTGGCCAGGGGTTTGGTATTGCTAAGGAAAAAAGGAACCTTGCTCAGCTTTGAGGAGGATGGCTCCTTGCTGTTACCTCTACATTTACTTTATTGTAGACAGTAAACAGAAAGGCAGAATGGCATAATGGTTAAAGACATAGGCTTTAGGGTCACACAGCCTAGGTCCAAATCCTGGCTTTGCTACTGAGTAGTTATTTCTTCTTCGTCTGCTTCCTTCTCCTTCGTGAGTCTGTTTCCTTAGTTGTTACTGTAATCACTCAGCAGACCCAAGTCAAGACAGCTGATGGCACCTATGCTAACATAAGTGTATCTAAGTTAGCTGCTCACATACATCTCGAGTCCCTCATCCACTGAGCATACAGTAATATCTACATACCAAGTGAGTGCATACAAAAGTATCTAAACCACATAGTCACCAATGTTTGAGTCTAAGTGAATTACTCCTATTTATAAATAGGTCTAAACAGGTTTCCTAATGATATTCATCCATAATTCCTGACCAGATGGTATCTGCTTCCATCTTATTATTTCCCTGTCTGAAAGGTGGCTTAACTAATATAATAAATTAAATGTTTACCCCTGGGAGTCATGTGGATCCTCTACTATTTCTCTTACCTTACGAATTTCTCCCTGTTGGACAGTTTTTATTACGTTAATCCATTCTTCCATGTCTTTCCGGTTGGGTGCAGCCAGGGTAACTTTTCGTTGTGGTGTGATCACCTACACAAAAAATCACATTAGAAGCTCTTACTCCAAAACTTTGCCCCCAAACAGAGACTTTGAACTCTCCAAGAAACCAGACAGATCTGCCATGCACAACCCAAGCCACTTCTTAAATATAAGACAGAAGTTCCCAGAGGTACCCACAGTTCCTTAGATATCTGCCCTAAATAATAATGATGATGACAATAGTAAAAACAACATTTTAATGGCACTTACTACATGCTGGGCACTGTTCTATTATACTTTTTGTGTATAATTTATTTCAGTCTTCATGACAACCCCATGACATGGGCATTATTGTTTTTCTCACTTCATAGTCAGGAAATCTTTCCATGGCAAAGGGAGTTAAATGACTTGCCCAGGACCACCTAGCAGGTAAAAAGCTAAGCCAGAATTAAAATTCAGATTCTTTGGCTCCAGCACACATGCTTTTAAACACTAAGCCATGTGCTACTCAAACAAGGTTGCTGGAAAATCCTCCTTGCTTACTGCTGCTCTGTCTACTTGAAAATGGTAAAAGGGTATATTTTTCATTGGGATGTGCCTCTATCTGCTTGTGAGGAGAGTTAGAATGGAGTGAGGAAACTGAAAATCCAGTTTCCTTCTTTCTTATGGTCGGGTACAACCTGAGAGAATTTTACCATACTCTCTCTTAGTACTGCTTGGTGCAAGAACCTTGTCAGGAACAATGAGAAAGCCATGCTGAGGGTCTAGCAGAGGTAGACTATCATCAGGACTTTGTCTTTTCCCAGGGAGCAGGAGGGAGCATGGATAGCTATAGCAGCACTTATCGTTTCAATGGTCCTACTTGTCTTCACTACCAGTCCCACTCCACCCCCAAATCTTGGAGATAGAGCTCATCACACCAACAAGCAATTTCATTTTGTGTTAAATGGCAACAGGAACTAGTGAGAATCATGACAACAGCCACTCCTTTGGTCCAAACTCATTCTTGTGTGGGGCTGATGAACAGGGCCTCTGTGTTTTAATTAGGCTAAGAGGAAACCTAGCCCTTATAATTTCTTTGTCTAATGGAGACCAAAAACATTAGTTTGTATACTCATCACCGAAAGGTTAAGCTTTTGGGGACTGGGTCAATGTAATCCTCAGCTTTATCCTGGGTCAGTGTAATGGAATGAGAGAGAAATGAGAGCAGGGTCTTCCTCTTATATCCAACTGCTCTCCTTTCAAAGAATGGATTGTGGACCAGCCAAGGAAGCAGTATATTGGGCCTGTAGCAATTTAGTCTGCTAAGTACCACCCTCCACCTGCCTGAAGAGTAACCCTAGTCTTCGTAAGCCACCAGTGAGGCTGGGAAAAGGCATTTCTGGGAGGAGATGGGTAGGAGAAGTCCTAGGCCAATGGACTTGCTATTTTTCAATGAGCTTTCAGGTCTGGATTTATTTGAATGACCAAGGCTTTGTATCAGCAGTGACAAGCCTTTGAATACTTCCCTAGAAAATCCTCTGCTTTCTTTGAGGTACTCTCATCAGTAATCTCAGCATAGAGTAGCTTTCACATTGGATTTAGGTTCTTATCTACTTCATCAAAGGAGAGAATATTATGTAGCTCGATTATTTTGATATATTCTACAACATATTAGCAGTCCCTTGAAAGCTTCCCAATGATAATCTTAAATTACCTTCACCAGGAAGATTGATTCCTTTTTTTAAACATTTTTTATTGAGTTGTATTCATTTCACAATGTTGTGTCAAATTCCAGTGTTCAGCACAATTTTTCAGTTATACATGAACATACATATATTCACTGTCACATTTTTTAACTGTGGGCTACCACAAGATCTTGTATATATTTCCCTGCGCTATACAGTATAATCTTGTTTATCTATTATGATTCTTACAATAGTCACTCCCCCTACCCCAAGATCAGCTCAGCTTTATATCAGGCTGGTAATAGGGAACAGGGCTATCACTTTTTTCCCCCATCGGTGGGCTGGTAGCAAATATTGACATGAATGATCTTTATTTTTTTCCTTAAATTTTTTTTCTTTTCTTTTGGGGGGGGGTAGGTAATTAGGTTTATTTATTTATTTATTTTAAATTTTTTTTTAAAAATGGAGGTTCTGGGGATTGAACCCTAGACCTTGTGCATGCTAAGTACATACTCTACCACTGAGCTATACCCTCCCCCCACATGAATAATCTTTAGCACTCATTTGTGATGCTACTTTAAGTGGATTTCCATACACACTTTGGGATCAAAGGAGACTTGGGAAATCTGAACTCCAAATAGGCAACACCTGGGTATGGCCACCCCTCTGCTCAGCTAGCTCCCACCCCTGCCCATTCAGTCATCCCTAATCTTACTTACACAAAAACTGTGGCAAAGGTTTCTACAGCTGCTTTCTGCCAAGGCAACTTGAGACAGATCAATTGTTTCAAAGCGTGCAAACTGGAAAGGTATAAGAGAGAGAGGGAAAAGGAACAATGTGGTTAATGAGGCAAAGAGACACTAAAAGGTAAACACACACACACACACAAAGGCATACTAATAGGCATGTTTGGCAGTCATGATCCCATGATCTCTTTGGCTTGAATGTTGGGATTTATCTGGCATCATGGGATTTATCTGGCATCATGATTTTATGGATATATCATGTGACAAACAAAAAACAAACCAAAACATAACTCTTCCCAAAACTTTTGTGTGGATTTATAGGAAAGCTTAGGTAAGTCAGGGTTATTCAAAACTAAGGGTTTATGCTGGAAAAGATATGGTCTATGGATCTGATCTAGCTAGGGCTCTAGTGAAGCAGATAAGGGTTATCCACCTTAATGCTTACCAACATATCTTTACCTGTTGGCCCATCTCACCACAAAACATTTCCTGGTATCCACCCACTAACCCAATTGAAAATATATATATATATATATATATATATATATATATGTATATATATATATATGTGTGTGTATATATATATATATATATATATGTATATATATATATATATATATATATATATATAT